AAAAACAAAAACAAAAACAAAACAAACAAAAAAAACCTTACATTATTTTTCAGGTGTTATGAATTAGGAACAATTCTTTCTGGAGGACAGAATATAAGAAAAAATAAATAAAATAAAAATTTTGAGTTTGATTGTTCTCCTGAATTTGACATGAAGAAAAGAACTAGGAGCCTTAGCCTTGGAGAGAAATTTTGAGTAGCTGCTCTCAGACATCTCCTCAGCCTTGGCAATATCTAAAAGCAATCAATTTCTCTGCTTTGACCACAGAGCTCCTTCAGCAGCTGAGCAGAGACTCACAAATGCCACTTCAAAGCCCAGGATGTCTTGATGAATTTGGATTTCTCATTAATTCACTAGGACTTTTCAATCCTACTGCCCATCATGATGAGTATTCTTCTGCTCTCCACCTTTGTGAAGTAATTTCATAAGTACAGCATTCATGCAGAGATCTGGAAACTGTTTTGAGGCTCCCCTTAGCCTGAGGAAACAATGTCATTTCTCCCACATCCCAAGAGGCAGACAAGGCTGAGCTAAGATCAGACTGTTTCCATTTCTCATTGAAGCTTCATCTTAATGGGGAAGTGAGAGACCAAGGCTAAGTAAGGCACAGCCTGACTTTGTAGACTAGCTATCAATACAGACTCCATTTTAAGGATTTCTGGTCCCAAATGAGGAATTTACTTATGCATTTTGTATCATAGAATCACTGGAAAAAAAAAAAAAAAAAAGGAACAAACTGAGGAGTTCATAGCAAGGGTCAGAGTCTAACTCAGTATACTTCCCCTTGGGTACAAAGATCCAAGAAAAATTAGCCTTTTGTTTTGTTTTGTTTGATAATTTTTCGTAGGATGACAACCAGCACTTTTTCCTCACTTTTTCCTCAATAACCTAATATTTCCTGAAAAATCATTTTCAGTAAGCTGTAGTGGTGACTTCATATTGTCTCCAGTACTGCAGTCTTTTGCAGTCTTTCCATTTTTCTTGTTGAGAGAATAGTATTTGAAAAGACCCAGTGATCCTTTTGGAAAAGAATACATAAGTGCTTTGCTGAAGTTCTGTACAGCAGGTACTGGTTTGGCTTCAGTGCATACCAGGCAATACAAATAAAATGGTAAGCATGGTCCAAGATTCAGTAAAGCTTCTCCCTTTGGCCAGGTGGCAGAACATGAGAGCTACAGCTCCAGAAGCAAGGGACCAGACCAGAACCACAAGCCCTTATGTGCCGTTGTCTGTACTACAAAACTGGTAGCATGGACACAGTCAAGACCAGTCACCCAGACCCATGCTTGGTGGTGGCTCAAGGGTTCAGGATCAGTCCCAACAGTTGCCCTGGAGTCAGCCAGCCTATTTTAATAAAAAATGTTTTGCTCCCTGGGATTATGTCATGCTCTGCTCTGGCCTCTGGGCCAGGGAACAATCCCTGATCTAGTTTCACAAAATCACAGAATTACAGAATGGTTGAGATAGGGCAGGACCTCTGGAGGCCATCTGGCTCAACTCCCCAGCTCAAGCAGGGACCTAGAACAGGTTGCCCAGGACCATGTCCAGATGGCTTTTGAAGATCTCTGCAACCTCTCTGAGGTTGCTAGCAGAAATACAGACACAAAGAAGATTGTCCTAAGAATACATAGTCAGCCTCATCATGCTTTCTTAATAATTATCATTATTATTACCTTTCATTTATCATTCATTACCTTTCATTTACATCCTTAATGGGATATTTATTTATTTATTTATTTTTGCTATAACAAAGTGCATGGAATTTGACCTAATATGAATATTTACATGGGAGTTCCCACACAAGCTGCTTTTGTTTCACAGAGCACACACTCGGTGCAGCTTCACCATTGTTTATTTCTCTCTAAGTTCAATCTTGTCCTTTACATTTTCCAGTTGTCATATTGAAACATTTTGGCACAGTTCTCATGCCTATAACAGGCTGGCCTGGCTCATGTAACTTCACCACACTTACACGCCTGTATACACTTTAGCGTTACAAAAACAGAAACTTAACACACTGTAAATAAACCCTATTGTTTTCACCAATGTGCAAGCGTATTATCATTAGCTTTAACTTCACAGAGGGGGAACATGTTCTAACTTATACAGCATGATTTTTCCATTCTCCTGCTGATTTCTCTCAATATTTGATTTTAAACAATTGGAGCTGAATATAGGCCAAGCTTGGATACTTCAGCTGCTTACACAGAAATAATCTTGTCGGTCCCAACTGCGAGCCCAGTCAGTCAAACTGCACAAGAACAGGAAAATGAAAGGGGTCATGCCATTTTCCATGAGAGCCCCAGGTGGAAAGGAGTCCAATTTTATCTGGCTATGCTGCTGCTCATGGTGCATGATCTTTTATGCAGGAAACCTGCTTGGCTCTGCCTGGGTCTGGGTGGAGAGGTACACTCTGGCCCAGCTGGCACCAAAAGATGGATTCAAGGACTGTGTTCATAGAAAGGGGCCATTTGGGTGGCCTGATCCTTTCTCCTTCCTTTAGTTTAACTGCTTAATTGCCACAGTCTTGTGGTGTTGGTTTTTGTAGTTGTTGTTTTTTTTTATTGCATTGTATTATTTTTTTTGTTTGTTTGTTTGTTTTATGGTATCATACAAATGTATACAAAGCTTTAGCTTTGTACCACACTATTCTTCATTAATTATGGACCTTTCTTTCTGAAGAATCTTCTTCCCATTCTGATATTTTGGAGTACCAGTATATTCTTCCCATTCTGGTCTTTTTTTAGCTATTGCTTCTTCTCTTTTCCTGTACGAAGGTAATAGGTTAGATTTCCTTAGGTATACCATGGGGAAATAGGTGTTCGAATGTTCAACTCTTCCTGCATTTTTTTACTGGATGAATATAGAATGGGACTAAAAAATGCTATTCTCGGTATCACTAGAATGAGTTAGAGAATGAGCTTTAACTTTATGGTATTCCCTGCTTTGTTTTCTAAGGCTCAAACTGGCTCTCATAGATCCAAATACATACAGGAACATCATAGTCATTTGGCTCCTTTTTTGAGCCCTGCTCAGAGGCAATGCTTTCAGAGATAATACTTTGTTTCAAAATTGATAATTCATTAACAATTCTAGCGGTGATTGTAAACATATACTTTCTGAAGTGAATCCAAACAATGATAATCTAAAATTTTCATAATGCCTAGTTTTGTGTTACCACCAAGACGTTAAAAAGGGTTGTTTTTGCAAAGTGATAAGTGCTCCAATATCTTTCTACATGAATATCAGGAAAAGCAGAATAAATAATACTGTAATTTAAATAATTTCTAGTTAAAAAATTAGTGCATTGAAAATATGAAGTAGTTATGTTTTGTTGGGTTTTTTTTTGGAGGGGGAAGGAGAAGGGCAGGAAGATAGAGGGTGGGTTAAGTCTTTCCTGCCAAACAGGTCTGCCTTCAGACTCTGGCTCATGGATTTTCATTAAAACAAACAATGAAATGGTAAAGAAAGCATTACACAGCTTAAAGCCTATTCTAGTATCAGATGAATAATAAATAATACATCAGTGTTGCCTGAGCAATAGTGAAATACTTTTCTACAAACCAGAAGATAATGAGCTCACACAAGAAGCCTTGTGTATCCAAAGGGATTTCTGAAGAAACACAGTGCAGTATAATTGAGAATTTGTTATTGCTAATCCTAAGGCTTTTATTTTCCATCCACCAACTTTCTTCTTCCTCTGATTTGCCCCAGCATACCATGTATTGCAGTAAATATATATGTCAACTCTGTACAGTCAAAAGCAGAGAAATACAGAAAACAGAGTGCCTAGAGACGGGTGCTAGAGCCAGCTAAAACAATTGCACAGTTGCTCTGCTAGGAGTGGTGAGAAAATCTAGTAACAATGATTCGTTTTTTTTTATTATTTTTTTTAAGGCCTTATTAAAGCTAAACCCCAGCCAACATATTTTAAACCTTATGGATGCCAAGTGACAAAATGTCTTCAGTCTTTTAGCACACACTCTTAATAATCATAACAACATTTTTGTATTGTTATAGGCAGTATTGGCAGCGTGTTCAATTGTGCATTGAATAAACAGCCCACATTAGCAGTTTGCCTTAAAATTCATGTGATGGTAGCAGCCAGCTTAATTAAGCACATCTCTCTGGGAAATCAGTAATAATAGTAATGAATAAACCTGCTGCTGACCTGCCGCAGAGAGAAGCCGTTAACATTTCTGAGTTTGAAACTACAGAACACCTACAGCTGCCTGGATCACAATTACTCTGTAACACTGCCTTTGGGAAAGGCAACCAATACCACTCAAATTCATCTTAGTTTGACATTTGTCCCTTTCTTCCTTACCTGCCACTATACATAAAGATTGCTTTTCTTTATCTGAAGAAGGAAGCCTTGGCCAAGTTATACCTCTGAGAATCTTCAACTGTCGTGTGACTTTCAATACAGCATTTCAGCCAGGCGAGGGGCTACTGTCTGGCTGGGGGGAAGAGGGAAGCAAATACTTTCCCCAAGAGAACTGACTCCAATTTTACAAAAATCATTTTTCAGTTTAAAAAAAAAAAGAAAAAAAAAAAGAAAGAAAAAAAAAGAAAAAAAAAAAAAAGAAAAAGAAAAGGAAAAAAAAAAAAAGAAAGAAAGAAAAAGACAAAAAAAAAAAAAAAAGGAAGAAAAAGAAAGACAAAAAAAGAAGCAGCTTTTTAGTCAAAAAATCCCAATCAGCTCTAACACTGACAGACTGTAACTTCTGAGACAGAGAGAGAAAAAAAAAAAAGGACTGTAAAAAGACTGACTACCCCAATATACAATGACATAAGGCCTGGAAAACTTGCTTTGCAAAGACAAAATTGAAAAAGCTGAGGACAAACATTTGACAAAGATGGAAAGACAAATAGCTATTTAGACATCTTTGAATTGCATAAACATCAAGCACAGAGTGAATTTCTGTAGTCAGATACATGCTGTCATAGAATGGACTAAGGAAAAATCATGGGGTGTCTTCACAAGAGAAAAAGTCAAAGAGGTTCAGTAGATTTTTATTGGTGGTTTGTATTTTACTAACAGTAGTAGACCAATGGAAAAGGTTGAAAAGTGCACTACCTTAGTGTTTGTGACTTAGAGGAAGGAATACAGAAAAACTGAAGAAATGGAAATACGAAACAGTATTGTCGATATCATACAGAAAATATAGGTAACACTATAAAATATCCTATATCCACATTGACAAGGAAATGTGTAGAACAAACTCAAAGGACATTTTCATATTCTTCGTTACTATAATTGCCCAGAAACCATTGTATAAAGAAACTCAATGCAGGGCATAGGACAACATATACAAAGAGAAGTAAAAAGAGTTGTTGGCAGTCGGTCAGTTTTCATTGGAGATACTTAAAACCATAGCATCCGTCAAAGAAAACCCTAGGAAAAGACATAGGCAATAGCTAAAACTGGCAATAGTAAACAAGAAACAGTGCTTTGTGGCATGACCGGTCTCTTTCAACAGTTTGAACTGTTCAAAAATGCTCAGTCAGAAATAAAATGTACAGCAAAGAGAAGAGACATGGAGAAAAACCTTTCTTTTCCCTGCTTTTTCTCTGTATTAGTTAGTAGGAGTGTTGCATTTCACTTAATCCAAGCAAAGAAAGAATCAAGAGACAACAACAAAAAAAAAAGTATAGACCCAAAGTCTATGGCTATTTATGGAAGACATCATCAATAATAGCTTGCATTTCTAAGGGGAAATTTACCTCATTGTCCAAATGGGGTGAAACATACAAACAATTCAGCAAACAAAAACAACAGCAATAACAAAGATGATTAGAAAGTATTAAGGAAAAAATTAAGAATCTTGACCATTTGAAGTAATGTTTCAGGGTAGGAGCTCTGTGTTCTACTTTCTTGCGTTAAAATATTTTCTTTCTTCATCACAGGGTCAGAAGTTTAGCAAGGCTGACTGTGCAAAGTTTGCCTGAAAACTTGAATGGAAAATTTCTAGGAACCATAAATAATAATGAATAAAGCACTATGTACTTTTGCCCCATGTAGCCAGTGGCCAAATTGACCATCTTAAAACAAAGTCATTGGCAAAATAAACTTCTACGAAATGTATGTGAAGCCATAAAGGATCCAAAAAGGTCACAGTCTCAATATCAGGAATGAGAAGTTAGAATATCTCCAGTCCAGAATGAACATTTCTGAGATTTTCTTCAAGATGTTTGGTGCCAATAGCCCAGCAAGCAAGCAAGGAATTCAGCAAGAGGTAAGGGAGCAGATGGATTTAAAGATGTTGAGGTTGAGCTGAGTCTTCTGCAGGGTTGCTGAGCTACATTGCATGCTTCACTGCTGACCCAATACAGCAGCAAATCTGCCCTGTAACTGTGCCATGGAGCTAAAACAGAAAAATAAATATTGCACTTATCATGTTAGCTTTGCTTCAGATTAGGTCTCAGGGTGTTACTGTTATAGGGACAGACCACAATACTCACACAATTTATACATAATCTGGCTGCCCAAAGTTAAGAAAAAAACAGAGTTGAATTTCATTTTTGTCAGTGTTTAGAGATCTTCAAAAGTTTAAACAGCAAAATAAAACTAACTAAATCTTTTTCACCTCCATATCCATCCCAAGGACCTGTGGAAAGTGGGGGAATTCCTGGGGAATTACATTGATAATCTGCTCTGCTCTGTTTCAGGAGCCAAGCCCTCAGGCCAGCAGCACAAATAGTGCCTTGTTCTTAACAGCAGAGGCTGAATCCTCCTGCCATGTGGTGACATTGGTTGAGGGGAAAAGAAAGGGGAGGGGGAAGGGGAGAAGCCTTGCAGTTTCCATCAGTCAGACAGACAGAAAATTGAGGAAGGAGCAGAAGTTGTTTAGGACTGTCTAGCAAGTGACAACTGTTTGATTGGCAGAAAGCCACGATGAGCATGCTGTGCCTTTAAAATAGGTGTCTATCTGCAGCCTGGAATATATTCAAATCAGGTTGCATAAAAAGCTGTTCCAGCTACTTACAAGATACTTAAAGTAATTAAAAGCAGAGAGCTGCCTTTGTCTCTCAGAACCTGTACGGAATTTTAAAGAGAGGGAAAGAATAAAGCAGAACAAAACTAAATAAAAATAATCAATTCCCAAGGTCAGTTCTAAGGTATTATCATCATTTTCTGCATATAAAATTTACGTTTATATACACAGGGTGGTACAAAGTCACTTCTCTGCTATGCCTGATAAGATACACCGCAGGAGGTGAGGATCCTTCCAAATATAGGAGTACTTAGTCTAAGTAATTTGGATTGTAAAATACACACAGGGACAGATTAACTGAGCTGTCACCAGGCAGGGTCAGGAGTGGGCAGGCAAACTATTATGCTTCAGCCTCCTGCTCATCTTGCCTTTTGCCTCAGATTCAGTTGCATTGGCCAAAAATGTTATACACCCAGAGATCCAATTTCTGAGTGCTCCTAGGGCATTTTAGCAGTGTGGTGCCCAAATACACAGGCGTGAGGAGCTGGCAGTAACTGGGTGCTGTAGGTCATGCACCATTACACTGCAGTGTGCACTGATTACCTCTGGGCGTACCTAATATTTGGAGGCTGCCTCAGTCTGCCCCAAGGGCTGGGGCAAGTAGTGATCTAGCCACCCCCACGCCCCTCCCAAATGTGCCTCTGCACTCCTGTGACTGCGACAACCCCTTCACCACATAACAAAACAGTCCTGTTCTAACTGGAACATTCTTTTTTTTAATCAGTTGAAATAAAACACAAATCAAACTCTGTCCTTTTAGATTTAGTGGTGATAAGACAAGGAGTAATGGCTTTAAACTATAAGAAGGTAGATTTAGGTCAGCTATAAGGAAAAAATTCTTTACTCTGAGTGGTAAGGCACTGGTACAGGTTGCCCGGAGAAGTTGTGGATGCCCCATCCTCAAATTGTTCAAGGCCAGGCTGACTGGGGCTTTGAGCAACCTGGTCTAGTGGGAGGTATCACTGGGACAGGGGGTTCCAACCCCATGGGACGGGGGTTGGAACTAATCTTCAAGGACCCTTCCAACTCAAATAATTCTGTGATTCCATGGGAAGGGGAAGGATACTGATTTATCATTTTGCAATTAATAAATAGCATCTATTAATAAATAGCAGAGAATTAACCAAATATCCAGGTAGGGACACTATCAAATTTTTGCAACATTATTTACAATTCGTCTTAGCAAAATAGTCATGACAGGAAAATGGACTTAATCAAAATGGAAACTTTGTAATGAAGCTGAAAGGGTTCTCTTACTGTCAACCCAGTGTTTCCATAGATTGTCCAGGAAGAAGGCTTTCAATGCATGCATTTCCTAATCAGCCTTCCAGAGTATTAAATAAAATACATCTTCTACTTCCATTATTTATTCCAGGGAGTATTTTATTCTCTAACACTTCAAAAGATTTTATTCCATAAAATAAAACTATTTTATTCTGGTGGATTAAAATATATCAGTTTACCCCATTGACCACTTTTGGGGGAAAATTTGGAATGATTTATTCAGTATTTTTCACCTACTGCATGATATAATTTTGAAATTTTCATATTGTATTGAAGTGTTTGAAAACATGTACACTATTCCTAAATTTGCTTGTAACATATTCAAACATGATCAAATCAATCTAAAATGTCAAGGCAATTTTTCTTCTGCATACTCTTTTAAGATGTTGGAAATTTCATAATGGAAATTTTTTAATGAAACTACAAAATACGCTTTCAAATGCACAGCATTTTATTAATATCCCACTAGATTGTTCATTGTATATCCACAAATAGTGTCATTTATTCATATATTTATTTTTAAAATAGTTATAACTTGTCACCAACCAGTAAAATTACTTTAATTCAATGATAACGGCTACTCATTTTATTAACTATGTTTTTGAGAGCATGGCTAAGCCACTTATAAAAAAAAAAAGGCCAACTTTTATAATATAGTATACAATCTATGTTTGCAGTGGTCTGTGATGCTTATCAGTATAACTCATGTCCTGTTTTTGCATTTTAAATTACTTGTAAGACCTTTAATTTACGCTACAATACTGACAACATGGTTTTAAACATGTCATTGACTCCTTATATCTTTAAAACAAAACCTTTAAGATTGGTTACAATGAAGGGAATAGAAAACAAATGCTTAGTATGTCACAAGCTATATGGGAAGGAATCAGAGATTAGAAAATGCCAGACAAGCTAAACAATATATTATATAATCTGAAAGACTCGGGTGGTCATTATTAATGAAAAAGAGCATCTTATTGTCTATGTTCATTAAGTCTATGTGGTCGCCTCATGAGGATTGTACTATAAGGTATACATATCATGAGGTTATACAAATCTCATTTTACTCACACAATGAGAAGCACTGCATATATCACTGCAAGGGTAGTAAGCAATAATTCAGAGCCCCTGGAGAAATTTAAAAAAATCACCCTGGAAAATGATCAGCTAAACTCTCAGAAAAGAAATGTTCCCAAGTATAAAAACACAGAGTAGAAGCATGAAAAAGAGCAAAGGAAGCATGAATTTACAATACCCCAAACTCTGAGGAGGGGCCAGTACAGTTTAGTTCTCCAGATACAGGACATCACATCATGATCTTGATGAAGATCAGTCTGCTGCAATATGCTTAGTGTGAAACATTTATCTAACAGAAATATATCAAGTAACATATTGGAAAAAAATCTGACAAAAGCAGGAAAAAAAATGCAAGTAATTTTATCCACCAATCCAAACTTCTCTCTTCTCTCTATCATGATGACCCATAAGCCTCCTTTCTCCAGACTTGTCTCCTCCTTTACAGGCAAAAATCTGGACCTGTCTCTCTGACATCTCCTCATGGGTGTTTAGCTGTCAGCTGAAGTTCACGGTGGTTAAAACAGAGCTGTGATGCCTCCTCCCCCAATTGGTTTCTCAATCTCTGTAGACAACACCATTATTCTGCTTGTCACTCAGGCTGGTAGCATGGGTATCACCTTCAGAGAGCAGTCCAAGCTGACAGTTTCAGTCATTTTAAGCCAGCTGAAGCAGGAACTGCCACCAAAATATGCAACTCAATTTTCCTGGGTGAGGTTGGAACTGGATCAGCACCCCAACCCTGCAGCAGCACTGCTCTATGAAAACTAATGGAAGTGGGAGGCACATGCAGTGGGGTGTCACTTTTGATTACAGCCTGTTCAGCCTTGAAACAATCATGCAGTCTATGCACCAGTGCTTACATCTGGATTTTTTTCTACACTTAGTAAGGTAAGGATCCTCCCATGCAGGTGCAGAGGTGAAACTCTACACATCTAGCTCCCTCACTGTCCTTGAAAAATGTGGTCTTGCACAGCTGAGATCTGTCCAGAATGCTAGTCTCTGAAGTTGCTTTGACCATAGCTATTCATGCTATACACTCTTCATTACCTCCCTTCCTTTGTCACATGCAACATTGACCACTTACTTTCACTTTGAGAAACTCCTGATTTTACAACTGTCCTGCCAATCATGTTGGCCACTGTTCAAACCTCCACTCTTTACCTGGCTTAAACTTATTTTTTAGCGTCATAATTAAAGCAAAAAGCTTCAGCTGCTTTTAACTGGAGTATAGTCCCTGGCCTCTGGACTGATCTCATCACCTGCTTTACAATTCATATGCAAGATCTCCTGCACAGAAGTAGGGGACAAGCCCTTCATCTTGTATTGACTCTGTTTTGCAGCTGGCATGTCTTCATTCAGGATCCCCAAGATTTATAAGAATTATAAGAGCAACATGGTTGATGGGAAAAGTGTCAACAGTTTAAAAAATAAACTTTGTGGGTAGAATGTGAGTAGTGAATAGAGCATATTTTATGGGTTGATTGGTCATTAGCTGTTCTGCCACAAGAATAGGAAATATATTTCTACTCTGTTATTATAGGAAATCCACTCTCAAATGATCTCTTTCCTGTTACAGCAAATATACATGATAAAATGTCCAAGAATGATCACAAAGAGAGGAAAAGATCTTGAGATAGATACAAGAAAATATTAAGTAAAATAAATAAACTTCAAGCAGAATGATTTGTTATGAAAAAATATGCATTAACAATACAATGGATCAGCCCACAGAATAATCTCTGGAGGGCATAGATGGAAATATCATAATTCAATGTATTTGCATATAGACAGTACAAAGCACACCAGAATGTATGGTACAGCAAGAATAAATCTGCATTAGCATGGGAATGAGTCATGTGCTTTAATTATAGGTGGTCCGGTGATGCAATGTTCAAATCTAGACACACACACACACACACAAAGAACAAAAACAAACAAACAAAACACACACACACACACAAAAAAAAAAAAAAAAAAACAGCAACAAAAAAAACACTTTTCTGATTCAACATTCAGCCTAGAGTTAACAGCACTTTCTTTTTCTAATTTTTATGATTTTCATTTCTCTGGAGTATGTTGGTGTGGCAAGAGTATTTGAAGTACCATGAAACAAACATGGTAGACGGGAGATTAAAAACAAACAAACAAACAAAACTTTCAAAGCCTAGTTCCTGCTAGAACTTCTCACGAAGATCCCATGCAACACACAGGCCCAGCAGAACTTTGTATTCAGTTAATTCACACAATGGTGCTACAAACTGTTAACTTTGCCCTCTCTGCACTATCTCAGCGACTCTGAGCTATACTCCAGGGCACAAAAGAGTTAGCCCAGCTGGAGAACACCTCACCTTGCACATGCATGGCTCCTAGTAACATAAAATCTTTAATTTAGCTTCTGTCACAAGAGCCTCTGCTTACCCTCAATAACCAAGGGGAAGGAAGAGTACCAGAGAAAGTCTACACCTTGGTAATACAGCCCTCTCCAGGACATCAGCCTCGTGTGAGTTATAGGTAACATGGCACAAATGAGATCTCAGAGGTTACTACAACAAAGCCAGGGATCAACATTGTTCCCAGCTGGCCCTGGAATGAGAGAGGCATAAAAGCAGTTAAAGCTAATTTTTTCTTCCCCACAGTGACATACAGCTGAGCACAACTTTTGACAGTTAGGAAAATAAACCTTATAGTTCCAGTTTGCATATATTCATCCAAATTTCAGGGTTTAGTACAGAGAACTTGTAGTTGTTTGTTTATACGACTTAGTTTAAAGTGATTATTAAAGGTAATTATACACAGCAAACTGTATGAAATCAGTTAAAACTAGACAAGCTGAAAATTATCCTGATTGTTTTCCCCTTGCAGTGGTTAACTGAGATACGTTTCTCTCGCAGGATCAAGAAGAAGACAGCATCACCTTGCAGACAGTGAAGGAACAGTTGATACTTAAAAATTAGCAAATTCACTACACAGTCCTGACTGACCACTAGGTCTTCCAAATTACATTGGAACACTTCATACAAACTTCATACAAACATTGGAGAAAAATTAAAAGTAAGAATTAAATTGGGCAAGGTTAATTTAAACAGCAAGCAAAGGGATGTGCTCCTGCCTGGTGTTATAAACAAGCAGCTGATAATGTTCACCTTTTCTTTGTCCATAAGCTTTCAAGCCTCAGACTTTTAGAATGGAAATGACTAGTTCACATTACAGAAAGTGAAATGTAGGTGTCATCCATTTAGCACATTCTTGATTTCTATGCAATGTAGGAAAAAAATACTGCAGGCACTACTCTTGGTATCAGATGATGCAATCTCCCAACACGGGTGTGTGGGGAAAGCCAGTGTTGTCTCAGAGACCGCAGGTAGAGTCAGTGCTGGCAGGAAACAGGTGATGATGCAGCTGTGAGCAGCTTGATGGTACTCATCATTACCTGTCACTTAAAATAAATTTTGCTAAACAGTTCCTGGACCTGACACTTTGCTCTTTAGCACACAATCCTGAACTCAGCAAATTAGTGAAATAAACCAAGATTTTCTGTTGCATTGGTGCATTTGGCACTGCTGGCAGCTGTTTGACGTGGCAGCCCTAGAAGGCAACACCCACTGCCTGCTGCAGACAGGGGCAGACCCAGGAACAGTCCTGCTGTGGTGCCAGCCCCAGCCAACACTAGCCAACTACTCATTTCTTCTTGGCTATTTAAACAGCTGTCCTCCCACAATTTTAATTTGCTGCCATGTTCAGAACTGACAGAGAGTGAGACATCATGGGTTGTTCATAGTGTCCCCTGACACTATTCATTCCCCCCTCAGATTTTTTCCCTTCAAATTCTTTCAAGTACGTAAGCTAAAACTTTGTTTCTGAGCATGTAAAAGCTAGAAAGCACAGGGGTGAAAAGTTCTGTCTGGAATTATTGAAATATCAATTTATAAAATCACAGAAGATCCTGAGCAGGAAGAAACCTATATGGATTATTGAGTCCAACTCCTTTCTCCACATGTGACAACACCAAAATCAAACCATGTGTTTGAGAGCATTGTCCAAATGCCTCTTGACCTCCAACAGGCTCGGTGCCATGACCACTGCCCTGGAGAGCCAGTCCAGGCCCAACCACCTTCTGGGTGCAGAACCTTTCGCCTGACCCTCCCCTGTGTCAGTCCCATGCCGTTCCCTCAGGTCCTATCACCGGTCACCAGAGAGCAGAGCTCAGTACCTGCCTCTCTACTCCTGTAGCGAGGGAGCTGCAGACCACCATGAGGCCTCCCCTCAGCCTGCTCTGGGCTGAATAAACCAAGACACCTCAGCCACTCTTCATACCTCTTGCCCTCTAGAAACTTCACCATCTCCATAGCCCAAATTAACCAGGTGGTTAATACTCACTCCATCCTCCTGTGTTGGGCCTGATTGCATATTGACTAGAGTGATGACCTGAAGTTAACTCCTGCTCACCCTTGCTGGATCATCACTTCCAATTCCACTGTGTCAGGCTGGCACACATGCATGGGTGAGCTGCTTCCAGACCAGCTCAGCTCTGGAGGGAGAACAGCAAATGGAGTCAGAATGGGTAAATTCCCTATGAAGCCTAGTGGAACTAGCTTGATCAGTGTTTTGCTCTTGTCAGCCTAGCAAACAGAGAACTCTCTCTCTTATGTAGGCAGACATGTAGTCACTAGCCATCAAAACCAATGTAAATATTGGAATAGAAGGCACAGTATACAACTGGCAAATATTGATCTCATCTGCAGCAATATTAAATCACTGATTGATGAGTAGTGCAACATACACCACTACCTTCAGACTACAGACATGGCATTTTTTGCCTCCTAGAGCCATCAGGGAGCACCAAAGATTACTTTTAACCAACACAGGGAAATAATTCAATTAAAATAATAAATTAATGTGGCATTATAATATAAATAAATATATTTATATACGTACAAATAATAAATTAAATGTGGCATACTTTTACCAAAAAAACAACTGATTTTGTGTCCTATTGGTAGAGTTCCTTGTTGTTTTTTTTGTTTTGTTTTGTTTTGTTTCTTATGCTGTCCTAGCTTATTTTTTTTAAGTGGTTTTGCCATAAAAACAGAAATCATCCTAAAAATTGGACTAAAAGTCTTCTAATCTCAAATCCTTTCAAGCATAAATGGTCTATTTCATGTTAGTTTAAATTAATTATTGTATATACATTATGTGCACAGAATTGCTTCAGAAAAGGAAGGAGAGGAAGTCTGTACTAGATTATGCCAGATTCATTTCAGTGCAACTCCCTCAATTTCAGTAAGAATAATTTACACTATTATTACTAGGAGCAAAATATGTCACAATGTCTGGCAGCTAATGGAAACCCAGTAGCTCTGGCAGATGCAGTGCCCAGACTTCAGCTTCCTTTGTATAATCTTGTATTTTTTTCCCTAGTGATTAAAGCAAGTATAGAGAGAATCCGTCAATTTTCACCTCTCTCTGATTACTCTTAGGGATTATTACTTTGAATGAAGTCCTTCCAAAGGCTCTTCTCAAAGAAATACAGTAAGTGGTAATTTATTCTCAAGATTTTTTTCTTTCTTAAAATTAGATGGTGAGTGTATAATGCAGTCCAGTCATCCAGAAGTTAACAATACCATTGTGCTTTAAACCTCTTTTTGAAAGAGGTCACTTTTTTGCTCTTATTTTCTCTATGAAAATCATTATTTATATTAGCAAAAACTGACAGATTGTTTGGAATAGGAAAGTGAGTTATCCAATGCAAGATGAACATACAAACCTGGTTAGTTTAATGCTACAGAAAATGTAACGGTAAGAGAAACATACAAAAGGAATGAATTCCAATAAAAATGGAATTTATAAATTATTGATCAGGCCTTCCATCAGCAGTTTACTATCTGTTTTGGACTGTAAGCTGATATACTACCCAAGCACTAAGAACAGATCATTGAAGAAACAGGAGTAGGTTAGAAAGAAGTCAGAACCTCCAAACGAGAAGACTGAGGAAAGCTTCTGCATGGTCAGGAGATCTTGTCAGACAAAATCATTTGGAGGAAAAAATCTCACAGTACACATTATTTAGCAATCTAACACACATCTCACAAGAATGCAATCTAGCTAAAGACATCATATGGCTTTTCTATACATCTTCCCCTGAGAAGAAGTTATGTTAAATAGCAGTAAAACAAATAAATAAACAGCAATTAAAAAAAAAAAAAAGTACAGGTCATGACAATCAATAGAGAGAACGGGGTTGACAGAGGAGAGGAAACATTTAAAACCAATCCGAGAAATCAGTGTGCTGGGAATCATGGACACAGTTTATATTTTCTTTAGTCAGAGCTTACATTTTGTTACTGTTCATCCCAGCACACTGAAAGTGTTCAGCTTTGGGGCTTCAAAATATTAGAAAATATGACTGTCAGAGAACTAGAAAAGAGGAAAACTGAGGTCTGGTGAACTTTAAAAAAATAATAATAATAAAATAAAATGCCTAGGGCACATTGTTGTATTCATTAGATGTATTTACTTGGCTGATTTCCAGAAAGATGCAGGGAAGAGGGAGGGCAGTTACACCAAGCCTGGAACTGACCACGGTTAATGAGTTGTGACCAAGACAGACAAGAGCAGTTTCACAGCAAACAGATTTCCATTGTTCATTAGAAGTTAGAAAATGCTTCTGCTTAGAAAAATACCAGCTGTATCCAAGAAACTGTCAGCTGCTGTTATCAATATTGCCTCTCAAAACTTGACCCATTGCCCAGAAGTCCACTGAGTGACCTTGCTTTCAATGGCTTGTGGTGGTAAAGCAATATCTATAAATAATGCATTAAAAGTGTCCTTCCATGTTGGCAGGTTCACATTTGTCAGGTATTTCCACACTATTCCAGGCCACTTCTTATGGGGCTCTCTTAATATGCTATGCATTTTTTCTACAATTGCTCTAATATGAATGTATCCCTTACTTAAATATATATTTTAATAATGACATGTCTTTTCATCAAATTCAATCTGAAAAACAACAGTTGGTGAGTGCAATGGGGAAAAAAAAAAAAAAAAAAAACAAAAAAAAAAAAAACAGGGATATCAGAAAACACGTTGGCAACTTTCCTTTTTTTTAATGCTGTTTATTATGAAGGAGCAACTTGCATGCTAATGGCATTTTTCATGTAATCTGATGATTCAAGTGCTTTACAAAGCAGTTAGCTACATACGTAGGAATATGGAATACTATTAGAGGCAATTAGGCATAAGCAGGGATGTGACTCACCCACTAAACTCAATAACCATCCCTTTATCATTATATCATTAAAAATAGGCATAGGAGATACTAAAAGTGGGCAACCTCTGCCTCTGTGCAGGATTACTAGCCCCCTAATGCATCTTTGCAATGCACTCAGTCTCCCAGAAATGAACACACCACAGACATCAGCGCTGTTACCTCTTTATTTAACAATCTCCAGTATTAAATAATTTTCCCAACATCTAACATAAATCAAAATTCTGAACTTATTGAAGTCTGCTTTCTTGAAATTGATTTTCTTTAACCATGAATTGTATCCTATCCTAATCGTTGTCTTTCTCCTTCACGTTCTCTGCAAGACTTCTTTGTCAAAATCAAACTTGGTAGCTCTCCCCATTAATTCCTTTGTTCTCCATCCATACAAAAAGTTTATCCCAACATGGGCCAATAACATTTTAGATAACTCCTATTGTCCAGGTGTAGCCCATCCCTGAGTGGTAGTTAAAAATCTCTATTGACAGTTGGATGTTGATAGTTTTGCTAGGTTAAATCCTTATCCATCTGATCCTACCAGTGTGATAGAAATTTCCTTACTTTATTACAGATATACAGGAGACATCTGCCATGAAAATATCCATAGTCTTTCCTCCTTTTTCCGTGACCTAAAGACTATCAAATTTGTCCTTACTTGTTGGACTATTTTGTTGTAGACATCTTTTATTCACACCTCATTTTGCTGTTTTTAGCCAGTCAGTTCTTCATGAATGAATGTTGCCCTTCTGTTTTAATGCTTGATTTTGATTGTTTGTATTTAAGTGTGATTGTATGCTGGGACTTTGGGGTCTTCCTGTTTTTTTGTTTTGTTTTGTTTTGTTTTGTTTTTTGGTTGGTTGGTTGGTTGGGTTTGTTTGTTTTTTTGTTGTTGTTTTTGTTGTTTGCTTTTTTTTGGTGGTGTTGTTTTTTTCCTTCAAACTGCCTATGGCTGAGCTTGTAACACCACATTCATCTCGGAGTCTAATCTTTGCAAAGTTAGCAGGCATTGGGCCAAAGCTCTTCTGCTCCTGCCCTGAGAAATGAACACCATTTCTGCACTTAAAACCAACTGACAGCCCCAGGCAGGGACTAGGGCAGAGCATTTTCCTTTAGCAGCTCAGTCTCACAAAGGACAGAACATCACAAGGCAAGCTGCATCCACCTGGATACTTAATACAGGTATACTTGAATTCAGAGAAGCATTTATATTTTCTGAAATTGCCTTTTATTCCACTCCTAAAGAATGCAAGAGAATAAAACAGAGATATACTTGGCATATACTTAGAGCAGAATCCTTCATGGGGCTGGAGAACACAGAGAAAGAGGAAAATAGGCCGTATTAAAGAAAATGAAGCTCCAACAAGTTCTTAAAGCTGAGCAACCTTATTCTAGGGAATCTTGGGTTTTAGTTTTTAAGTTGGTACCATCTGTGCATTCTGAGTGAGTACATTTGGATCAGAGTAGCTCTAACAGGCAGCCCTGTAGGGATCAGCAGTGCTGTGGTGCCCTCCTGCAGCTGAGACATGCCCCAGAGGAGTTCTCAAGTTCAGCAGAAGAAGAAGACTTAAGTCAGGCATTCTCTGAGTCTTCTTCCTGCTCTTAATGGTTTTCTCATACCTTTGCTTCCAATTTTGTAATCAGGAATTTACTTCTTTGATGCGCTTGACACACTTGTAGTTATATTTTTTAACCCTCTTTCAGTTTTTGAGGAAGATTTCAAGTAACACTGAAAACATAAGGCACAGAAACAAACAAACAAAATCTTAATAACTCACTGTTACAGAAAAATCCCTTTGATGCCTGGGAACCGAGGCAAATTTGGAGTACCTTAGCAGCTGGGATGTGTTTCCCACCAACCTGCAAAGAATGGTAAAAGTATCAAGGGCCAAGACATGGAAAGTCATTCCACTGAGACACTAACCAGTGCCTTCTCACAAAGGACAAGTGACAGAGACACAGTCCAGGACTATCGGAATCCCCATGTTGTCACAATCTATAAACAAAAGGTTTTGGGAAAATTTCCAGGATTCTGTTCCACATTCATATCATCTACACAGGTTGTCAGGAGAGACTTCTCTGCTTTTCCATCACCTATCAACAAATATCGTGTCCCAGCATTTGACTGTGTGAAATTGTGATTAATCTCTCATTCTTATACCTTATAGACTGTTTTGTGTAACCATGACATGAACCACTGTCTTCACTAGTAAAAGGCCATGTGGATTATGTAAAGGGCAGTAGATAACCCATAAATTTCTATTAACTCTCAGGTCAATACTGGCTAACCAAGAGCTACTTCTGGGTGGCGAAGAAGATGGTCCCAAGTTTAAGTGATCTGTAGTTTTTCGA